TACTCTCTCCCTTCCTCTTTCTTCTGGTGGTCGACTGGATTATGAAGACCTCGACATCTGAGAGAAACTACGGCATACGATGGACAGCTCAAAACCAATTAGACGATTTGGACTTCGCAGATGACCTAGCCCTTCTATCGCATACACACGAACAAATGCAGATAAAGACAGCCAGCATAGCAGCAGTCTCTGCATCAGTAGGCCTCAACATACATAAGGGGAAAACCAAGGTCCTCAAATATAACACGGAGAACAGCAATCCAATCACTATTGATGGCGAAATTCTGGAAGATGTGGAATCCTTCACATACTTAGTAAATGTTTTACGGTCTTCTTTTAAGAACCAGGCCGGATAATGTTCCAAGATTCGTTAATACAATGATCGCTTTGTGCAGCCTATGTAACGTGCCCCACATGAACAAGTAAATTTATATATATAGATGTGGCCGATAGCGGAAGTTTATCTTTAACACATCCCAGAATGGTAGGTCGGCTAGAGAAAACAATTCAGAGCTTAGCTGTGTAGAATGTTTTATTCAACGATTTCCAAATCCGTTTATTTAGGATTTTAGCAGCCCTGTCTCTTTTTTAAATTCCATATTTATAAATAGAATTTTCTTCTCTACTATCGATGCTTTGTCATGAAGTCTGGCTGCCAAGTTGCTATCAATATGACTTGTTTATTTATACAAAAAAAAACAAACAAAATAATACTCATTAAATAGTTTTAAGCAAATGTTTATAGAATGAAAGAAGAGGATTCATGAGAACTCAGAAACTATTTGATTATCATTATGATTATTATTGTCCCCCCTCACACACACACACACACACACGCGAATGTTAAACCAATCGATCCAGACAAACTTCGGAGAGAGAGAGAGAGAGTGAGAGTGAGAGCGAGAGAGAAAGAGAAAAACACACACACACACACCCAATTGAAACTGCATAGAAAGAAGTCATTGTAACCATATGTATATGTATATATATATGATGTTTTATTATTAATTATGTTGTAGATCTTAATATATCCAATATGAATTCAATTATTTCTAATAAACTAATATTAACTAGTAAAAACAAAAGGTAAATTAAAATGTCTACGACAAATAGAACTATCCTAAAACAGCATAGAGTTACTTCATAAAAATTTAAAAAAAATACACATTTATATATAAATTTGTAAATCTTGTACTATTATCTGTGAATGTGTGTGTGTGTGTGTGCATGTATGAATACCATATTACATAGTTGTACAATATTACAGTTTATTATATCTAATAATGACTTTTATCTTAATGTGGTTATTGTTATTGTTGCTGGTAGTAGTAGTGGTGGTGGTGGTGGTGGTGTTGGTGTTGGTGTTGTTGTATTTTCATTGAAAAACGAACAAACCCGCACACGCACACGCACACACACACACGTTTACAATAGTAACTAACGTCATAGATGGAAACATGTGATCATCAGATAGAATGATGATACAAGAAGGCATTAGTTATTGTTAATTATATCATTAATGAATATCTATCTATCTATCTAAATGATGAAATTCTTTCTGTCATCATTACATCTACATAGATGTATGTGTATTTACATATATAGAGTAAAGTAGTTGTTTTTTTTTTTGTTTTTTTTGTCAAGATTTGGTATCCTTCAAAAAAACAACACTTCTTCAATAGATTAATCAAAGAATAATGTAATGTGTTCTTTTACTTTATAAGATCAATTAAAACAAGAACTGATTTATTTCTGTTTATATGAGAAGTAAAGGTATTGACTATATATATATATATATATATATATATATATATATATATATATATATATATATATATATATATATATATATATATATATATATCGTTCAAAGATTATATCTTGAATCTATGGAGTAAAAGCCTGTTAGTTAGTTAATCAGTCAGCTACAACATAGGATCAGCCACTGAAGATCATTGAAAGCTTGTAGTGATGAGTAAATCTTTGAAATCATTGAAATAGTATCTAATGATTTATAGATCAGTTTAAAATTTAGTAGATTTGAGATAATCTTTTGATTTGGTTCAATTTTATTAGTCATAATCACATGGTTAGATACTGGTTTAGTGGTCTGAAGGTTAAAAGTTTGTGTTAGAGACTCTTCATATGAATCCTACATGAGGGATCGTAAATGAGTACAACCACTGAGGAGTCCCATATTACCACAAAACAATTGTCCGATGCTTACAGATGTTGAGATAGTTAGAATTCACTTGGAAAAGGTACTTATTTTGTAATTTTATTCTGAAAATTTAAATTTAATGTTTTCGTGCCAAGAGACGCTTAGTTGGTCTACAGCTTACATTTCCCAATCGGAAATCTTTCACTACCATTGATTGACAGATATTTATTAGTACGATATTCTATGCCTCTCCCAAAGTCGTTTCTATCATTGTATAAATAAGCCTGATTTGTGTACTTAATAATCTTGTATTTTCTCGAAGCTTGTAGAATACATTCTCTACCCTTCATCAAGACATCTCTAATCTAGTTGGCAGAAGACAACGGATTAGAATAGCCTATTGTAATCATGTATCTTTGACGTTTGTTCCGTTTACCGAGTAAGGTGTACTCGTAATAGTGTTCAATCATATCTCCAGATTTTCCATGGTTGTTCAACTTATGAATTCAACTAATACATTCTTTTTTATTTTACACTTAAGCTTTATTGGAAGAGATAATTCATATTATCCACAAGGTAATGTCCCAGCTTCCAGCTGAGAAAGGAATTATGAAAAAACGATAGAAATGAATAGGACATACATTACGCAAATCATCAAACTGCATCACGAGGCAAGTCCTAACTTGGAATTCTGAAGGGAAACGGAAAAGAGGAAGACCAAAGAACACATTAAGTCGGCAAATATAAGAGGATATGAAAAGGATGAATAAGGACTGAAAAGAGCTGTAAAGGATTACCCAGGACAGGGTTGGATGGAGAGTGCAGGTGAGCTGCCTATGCTCTTGTGCTAGGAGTAACAGGATTAAGTAAGTAAGTAAGTAACGTAATGTCGAGAGCTATTCATTTAATTTACTAAACACGTTTTCTTTTTGCAGATCATTCCAATCTAAAGTTTAAGCATCTAATAGTTCCCCATAGTTATTGATTTAGAAACATTCACTGATAAATAAATCTACACGATATTCTTTTAAAACACTTTTTATAAAGAGAAAATGACAACGAAATACTTGTATTCTAAGTGTTGTCTTTACTTTTCTATTCCATTATTGATTGATGATCAATGAAGTAATAGGTTGATGGAACTTAATCAGTATCAAAGTGAGATAGTAACATATACACACATTGATAGCATTGAATGGTGGGTACTATGCATACATGTATATATCACGGGTTGAGTGGATTTGAAACTTTGAATTGATGTTTAGTTAAAGGTAGTCGGTACAAACCGTCGATCTAAATTTCAATATACATGAGATTGTTTAGCAATCTCTACTTAGAATCTTTAGAGAACTGATACTCCTTATGACATATAAACCTAGTTCAACGGGTTTCATGAATCGAAACTACAGCACGAACATACCCGGATGACGAATTACTTGGTCATTACCCAGTTACCAATGATTAGTAAAAATGTACACTACTTGGATTTCAACCCCATGGTCTGGAATGAAATCGAAAACTTTTATGTCTTAGATTCAATCCCTGATAGTACTTTTTTCCACTTTTTACATAAGCAAAGTTTCATATCAAAACAGAAATGATATTTCAGTGATTTCCATGTATTGCAAACATTCTCCAAATAATAATGACAGTGCAGTTCAGCCGGGTCTGTTTTGAAATAGTAACTCACTGATGATAATGTTAGATGTGTCACTCAATTCCATGGATTGATTAGAGTTAGACATTAACACCGTTGGATGCTAGCCTGCTCAGTGGTCTAGATGTTAAGTGTTCAAGCTTGAGACTGATAGGTCCTCGTTTCAAATCTCACGAGACGGGATCATGAATGCGTAATGCTGAGGAGTCGAACAAAAGGACGAAACGGCTGTCCAGTACTTTCAGGTTTTCTATGATGGTGTAGCTTTAATTGACTCATGATCTCAACCATCGAAATAGTGACCTTCTTTGAATCAAGTCCGACCTATTTACCATCCATCAATTACAATACAAATTTTCTTTCTTTTTTTTAAACGTTATTTCTCATTTTCACGACTGTAACTAACAAACAAACAAACAAAGTCCTTACCTTTTATACAGATCACTAGTATTTTTTGTTTTGTTTATGTTTTTGGTGATGAAGATGATGATGATGATGATGATGATGATGATGATGATGATGATCAGCTGTTGTGAAACATTGCCGTTAGTAACTATTAGTTAAAAGGAGACAATGTTAAGTGTTCTCATCTAAACATAATGTCATACTAGTTAGCATTTAGAAAAGAAAAGAAAGAAAGAAATAGCTTCAAACTTATGGGATAAATATCAACAGAACACATCGATGAATCAGTGTAAGATTAGAAAACAATCATTAAGCACCTTTCAGATATTAGTTTATTAGAAAATAAAACACACTAAATTTTCAATATGAGAACAAACATCATGGTAACTAACATTGAAGGTAATAATCGCTAGAGTTATATTTCTATTTAGTGTTTATTACGGTTAATAATAAATTATGAATTACATAAGAAGAAGATGAAACTGTTTATAAATTAACCTTCACTGTAAAATTGGAACCCAGAACGCTTATTTTGTCCTACTTGAGATTCATCAGCTGAATATCGTTGAATCTTGGTGTTGTATGTTTATATCCAGTACTGAATCTAATATCTTTCATTTTAAACCCTAAACGCACTATCTATTCAGCTATTCAACTAGTCATAATCAATATCTCACATAAAAATAGTATTCCAACAAAGATTACAAGTTTCACATATCCCCAAATACAAATCCAAATCTATTTTAATTCAAACATAAAGATATTCCTTGTAATTTTTTAAATTCTGATATCATCATCATCAACCAAAGCATCATCATCATCATCCAAAGCATCATCATCATCATCATCATCATACAAAGCATCATCATCATCATCATCCAAATCATCATCATCATCATCCAAATCATCATCATCATCATCATCATCATCATCATCATCCAAATCATCATCATCATCATCATCATCATCATCATCCAAATCATCATCATCATCATCATCATCCAAAGCATCATCATCATCATTCATTCATTCATTTATATATGTCACTTATTAATTAATAGTAATTTGTAGCTTGTCCAATTATTACAGATCACTAGGTATTCTGTATCAATGTATTTACAAGCATTTTTTCAATGCTTCATCGTTGAATGAGAGCTATACTTTAAAAGTACAATATTGTTTACTGAGAATTTTATTTTAAGCTTTATTTTCATTTGGAATGCCTTACAGTAATATGTCATATCAGTTATGATCAATGGAGTTCAACCAAGTCTGTTGTCAGATAGTAACTCACTAAAGACAATAATAGACATTGATGTAATTTCATGCATTATTTGAAATTAGATATTAACAAAGTTGATTCCCACCTCAGTAGTCTAGAGATTAAACATTCACACACGAAACTGAATGTTTTTCATTCAAATCTGATATCAGTTATCGTGTATCAACACTTCTACTGAAGAGTCCCATATTAGGACGAAACAGCTATTCAGTACTTTAGCTTTAATTCACTTATATATATTCAATTATGAACTATATAAATAGTAAAATTTAAAGCTTTAATAATAAAATCCTTCATAAAAAAAATCATACTTTCACATGTATAACTTACCTAACAAGTGTAATTTATTTAACAGAAACATTCAACAACAACAACGAAAAAAAAACAATTCAAGTATAGAAGTATCTATATTTATAAATCTTATATATATATATTCGTCATCTGTATAATGTAACATTTTTTGAAATACGTAAGGAGAAAAAAAAGAACGAGAAGAACAAAGAAAAAAAGAAGAACAGGAAGAAGAAGTCAATACCACTTAGAAACTACTCATCGTTAGTAACAATCATTGAATATAATTGATTATAAAAAGAAAACTTTAAATAATCTAAATAGTTTATCATTACTAATCATGAATTGTATACAAAGACACTTGTAAAGAGAAAGAAAAAAAAAGAAAAAGAAAAGAAGAACAAGAGAAAGAGTTTAGCACACACATAGAACCAATAAGATAAAAGAATAATGAAGGAATAATTAAACAGTAAAGAATGAAAACATCAAATGGTGTACTGATTATGTTTAGGTTTTGTTTATAAAATAGAGAATCTAAGTGTTTTGCAGTATATTGTGAACAAGTATATTAATAATAATGAATAGGGTAATCAATTATTATTATTAGTAGTAGTATTAGTAGTAGTAGTATTAGTAGTAGTAGTAGTATTGTTATGAGTAGTATTAGTAGTATCCCTAGTAATATGTTTCTTTTTCTATCCATGAACCAGGAAATCGTCGAATTAAATATTTTCTTGTTTCATCATATGCAAAAATCAATATGGAAAATGGTAATGCTGGAAGCCACCATGTATATCTAATAATATAATATAATATAATATAATAAATAGAGTATTATTCATAATCTAATTGTAATTATAATTAAAATGGTATGTATTATGTAATGAATTGAAGAATTCATCTCTCATACATTGAATCAATTCAATATTTCTACTTATTCATCTCAGAGATTCTCAGATGATTCTTCTTTGTATAACAGTTCTTTTTTTGTTTTATAACAAATCATATAGGTCTTCTTGATAATACTACTGTGGTGTGGGTTACTTATATCCACGCAAGTAGTATATGATAGTGGTCAGGCATAGAATGTATTTCAGTAGAAGGTTAATGAAGAAAGAACAGGAACGGAACGGAACGCAACGCAACGCAACACAATTGGTATAACCAAGCATGAACAATGAAATCTGAGATAATGGATTAATGTTTGCGATAGGAACGGTCAAGCTTCAGATGATGGACTGATATTTTGCAAATTAACGATTGACTATATATCGTTCTCAGATTTTATTGAGATGCTCTGTAATTATGTGCTCAACTTTATTTCATTCTACCCACTCGTGTTCTTGTTCATTACACTACTACTACTACACACACTCTTATTAGTAGTAGTAGTAGTGGTGCTGGTGATAAGAGAAGTTGTAGCTTACATACTTATTCATTAGTTCATTGTTTAAGTTGAAATACATTGAAATACTGGCCTATTAACAATTAAAACATCATTAACGTTAAATAATTAGGTAATACTATCAATTAGATGATAGTCTTATACAATTCTCCGGTAAAACTATAATCTATGGACGACCTATGTGAGACAGCACACTAACCTTAAGAGTGTTCACCTAATAACTAGGACCGAATAAGGGTTATAAACCCAGTGTGCGAGGAATTACAAATATGATTTACAGTTGATAGTTAGAGCTAGGGATTAGATTTATGGTTTCCCATCACGAACTGACATCAGTTATAATACCAAAACACTCTTTAATCAAATGGATGAATGAACTTCATGTCAAAATCCCAGATCTATTATCTTATACCAACTTGATTAGTTCATTTATAAATTGTAATCTCACTTAATTCTCTTTCATTATATTTCAACCAAAAAGAAAAAGAAAACATTTTATAAAATGAAATACAAATTACCTTAAAGGCATCATACGTAGACCTTTATCTAACCCTGGACAATATGATAAAAAGATTGCTAATGCAGTTTCAAAGAATAATGCAAAATTTAAATATTTATTCCACATTCCTTGTTGAATAACTGAATTACGACGAGTTTTACAAATAATTAAATCAGCCCATTGTACTATAACAATAGATGCAAAAAATGCAGTTTGACATGTGGATTCTAAACGTTTACGTTGTTTATAAGTCTGTATGAAAAAAGATAGAGAGAGCGAGAGAGCGAGAGAGAGAGAGAGAAAGAAAGAAATCGATAAGATGAAATACAAAAACGAATGAGTTATTAAATCATTACATTCATACAAACTAATTGTACTATTGATAGTTCTAATATTTACACGTTTTACACTTTCATCATAGGCAAAGATGTTTTCAGCTCCCTTCGATCAATTCGTTGCCAGTTCAAGATATCATGTTTCTATTGAAAATTATATTTTGAATTGATTGAGAACCGATGGAAAAGACTAAAATTCGTTTACCTTTATTGTTTAGGGAGACCGGCTCAGTGGTCTAGAGGTTAAGCGTTCGTGCACGAGACTGAAGACCCTGGGTTCGAGTTCAACGTGACAGATCAGGAATGCGCACTGTTTAGGAGTTCCATACTAGAACGAGACGGCCGTCTAATGCTTCCAGGTGTGACTACTCAACTGTGCACATCTACGATTCCGCTCGAGGGATTCGAACCCACAGCCTTCAGTCTCTCACGCAAACACGAGTTATTTAAAAAAGAATCAAGACATTTCAGCAAAGAAAATTCACTTTTTAATAATATCATTTTCTAAAGCGGTGTGATCATATTCATAGGTAAATTTTACATGTAGCAGTTTATAGTAAAATAGATAAGTTTTACAAATTATGAAAGATAATCAAACCCATTCGCGTGGTAGTTAATTAAAATTCAGTGAAGTTGCATAATATGGTCAAGGTTATAAATGAAAAGGGTTTCATTTCAGTGTATTAAACGTTTTAAGTAGTGCATAAAAAAGGGGCGGCGTCATGTGAAAAAGTAAACAAAATTCACTAGCCCATCTAAGCTAGACTACCGAAACACTGAAAGACCATTTCGTCATAGTACGACACTCTTCAGCAGTGTGCACCCGTTTCCAACACCCGGAGGTCTATCCTAGGATCTGTGTTTACGCACAAAAACACTAAACCTACAGACTATGGTGTAAATACTAAACGGTATTAATTTCAAACACTAATCAATCTACAATCTTACGCAACACTTCGTCCATTGCCTACATCGGATAAATATCTCACGCTTTACATAGATTCGAATCCAACAATTACATTTTCTCAGTAAAACCTCAACAGGTCAGATGTTCACGCCCGAAAGCAAAGATCTTCTGTCTGATTCTACATTCTTTAGTGATGTATACGCACATCTGAGAAGCCCCCTACTCAGATGAAACGAAAGTCTAGCGTTCCCAGTTTTTTATTGTTGGTCTAGCTTCGACTGGTTTGTGATTTCAACTGTAAAAATAATCCAATCTTCATAAATCCTTCATACCAATAGTCGAAAATCATCAAGAGCATACGTTATATAATAGTATTATAAGTAATAAAAAGTAATAATTTATCATATGAAATCTAAAGACAATAAGGTAATAATTAGTACTTATAATTTGTATGGTTCGAAGGGATACTTAGATCATGGGAGGATAAACTACTAATCATGATTGTTCTACATACACAGATTGGGTTTGTAATAGTGCTTCTGCTTCAACTGTGCCTAATATCCTCATTCAAACCTTGAACAAGAATTCACATAGTGATGTGTGGCCAAAGTCGACGGTATGCTTACAGACTGAGCTGTTGATAAACTCTCATTCCCCTTTAAATTTTCATTCAGCGTAGTCCTTATGGATTCGTTTAACAAGTTCAAACTTTATACAACTGATATAACTTATTCTATAAGAGCAAATAAACTGATAAATCAATATTAAAGTGGCCTAAAATGTCATGTTATTCGTCTCAGTTGCCTAAATGTATGTTTTTTTTGCTTAGAGAAATTGATGAACTACCTTAGATAACTGGCTTATATATTCAACTAATGATTGATTAGCCTCAAATGCCTTAGTAAGGCCGAGGGTAGGGATAGTCAACTTTCCCTCTGGAAATACTCTCACACAGCCACGCGTATACAGCCATTGTCAGGGAAGTCCTACTCACTGCCTTCTCACACCACTAAATTTGTTTAAAAAACGGACAGGGCAAAAAGAGAATATCCGGTGCTTTAACTGGGTTGGTGTATACCGAGTATCTATCTCAGGGAGTTGAAAAACTGTAATTCCAAACCAATGATGTATATGGGCTCCAGTATCCTGAGGGAATATATAGTGTATGAACCAATCGTTGGTCACCGACTATCATGGGACTACATCTCATGACGTTGTTCCACTGCCTTGTAGATCAGACCTTTAGGTCCCCTGAAAAACCACGTGCTTCGTTTGGGCACTCGGACAGTATCATAGCCCCGCATGCAAATCAAGTGAATTGTGTGGCAAATATGTATTCGGTGCCCCTTTTTGTTACACTTTTGTACACTTTTATTGAGAAAAATATCATTTTATAATAAAAAAATAAAAGAATACTATTTACCCATTCTTGACCATATGAATCACTTAATGCATCTACAGCTCGTGAATCCCATTCTTTACGTATACCAAGTAGACGTGATGGCCAAAAACCATTTTCAGCCATAATAACAAAATAAACAAAGAAACCACCAAGTGCTTGTATCATTCCAATTTGACCATAAGCCATAGCAATTAAACGTTCATTTACTAAACGATCATGTAATGGATCACGTGGCATACGTTTCATAATATCTGATTCAGCTTCTTCATAAGCTAATGAAATTGCTGGAATCTATGAGAAAAATATAATTAAAAAGTAAACAAAATACTGAATTGAATGTTGAATTATAGTTTGATTAATCTTATAACATGTGAACTTTGTCCCTATCAATATTTGATGTAATGATACCGCCAATTAGAGAACAGTGAATTACCAACCGAACCAATGACGTATAAAACCCGTACAAACAGCCTAAAGTCCTTATCGGTCCTTCTTCCTGTCTAGCCCTGCCTGCTTGTTCGAATCCAGAACACCGATCTCAGCCTCTGCAATATGAATCATTTATTTCAGACATACTGGGTTTATATACCAACCAAACAGACCACATTATACCATAAAATAGGAAACAATATTTGTACAAGATGTAACCAAAAGTGACTGTGAATGTGGGAGGTAGTAATTGATAGACTGGGTATAACTCAAGGATGTTAAATCGTTGTTATTTAGCTTAAACTCTCACATCATGAACTAACTTTGACTAGACAACTGTTGGAACGGATTGTCAATCAATGATCTGAGACTGTTGTGATTACCTACAGCTAATTAATCTTATGCTAAGATGAAACAACTGTCAGTTGCTTTTTGGTTATCAATGATGATCAATTCGTTAATCTTACAGTATTCATAAAAGCCCTATGGTCATTTAAAAAGAGTCAATTATATACTTTCATGAAATAGAACATTACTTACCATATCAGTACCTAAATCAATACATAGAATTGTAATTGTACCTAATGGTAATGGTAGACCAAATCCAATATATACTAAAAATGGTGTAATCTCTGGTATATTCGATGTTAATGTATAAGCAATGGATTTTTTCAAATTATCAAATATAAGACGACCTTCTTCAACTCCTGTAACAATTGAAGCAAAATTATCATCTAATAAAATCATATCCGCTGCTTGTTTACTCACATCACTACCTGCAATACCCATTGCAACACCTTGTGAAAAGAAAAGAAATTTAAAGAAAGAAATAAGGAGAGGGAATGTGTTTTATGCTAACAGGTAAACTCAATGTGACAATGACATTGCTAATTAATAAGTAATATTAAAGAGGAGGAATGTATTTGAAGTAAATCCAACGTTTCACTAGGCAATGTTACTTACTTACCCTTGTTACTCCTAATGAAGCATAGGCCACCGATTCATATTCTCCAACCCACTCTGTCCTAAGTCTTCCTTTCTAGTTCTATCCAATTCTTGTTCATTCTTCTTATGTCTGTCTCCATTTCTCAGTGTAATGTGTTCTTTGATCTTCCCCTTCTACTTTGGACTTGAAAATTCCAAGCGATGAGTGCTTGCGTTGTGACGCAGTTGGGTGCTTTCCTCAATATGTGTTGTTGATAGTGTCTGGCCAACGGATCCGAACTCCGGCCAGAGTTCCACTTGGGCTCCTGCCCGTTCCAAGCCCGGATAAAAAAAGGAGGGTTGGGAATGGATTAAGCGACTCCATCCCGTAGAAAAATAACTCGCTAAAAAATGCTAACCAGACAAAATAATTCAAACCAAAAACTGGATAGAACTAGAAAGGAAGGCTTTGGACAGAGTGAGTTGTAGAATGCTGGTCGGTGGTCTATGCTCCATTAGAGGTAACAGGCGTAAGTAATTAAGAAAGCAAGTAAGGAATGTGATCTTGACAATTAGGAAGTTTTTGTAAACCATACTAAGAGTTTTAAATAAAATCTGTACGAATATTCGTTTATATTTAAACGAATAGTTTGACAGAAATGGGGTAATGAATTGTGTTTTAAAAAAATCGATAATAATTCAACCAGGATAATCAAAGCTGAAAGTTTCCAAAAGTATTTTTATTAATCTCTTGACTTTCGAAAACTTTCTCTGTGGTGCATTCAACGAAACCTCAATTTATGAACAAAACAATGAAATTATCAATATAGATTTGTGGAGATTATTAAGTTTTAGATTAAGATCATAAATCAATTAATGTTATATCACTATGGAAAACCTGGAAGTACTGAACGACCGTTTCATTCTATTGTGGTACTCCTCAGTGACAGTGCACATCCACGATCCCACCCGCGGGATTCGAACCCAGGGTCTTCTAGACCAACATTCAACGGTTTTAATGTCTAACCTCAACTAATTCATGAAATCACGCAACCATCTTTCATTGTACTAAGGTGGATACCTGTCTCTACCCGACGTTAACAACTATTGAATTTTAGCATGAAATTCATTAATTCATATAATTAAATAAAAATTTTGATATTATAATTGATATCCATTCTAAATTCTAACTCTAAATCATAATCTTTTTATACCAATTTATAACCATCTTTTGATTTTAAGAAATAAATAAGTTAGCTGTCTTAACATCACTGTGCCTAAAACCAGCACCTTAGACCACTCAGTCACTCCACTGACTTAACATCATTGTTATGTCACTTAATTACCGTCCATAAATTATGTTCATACAGAATTCACAATTGGTTACTAAGATAGAGAGATAACATATTACTATACGTGTCATTTATTAATTAGGGTTTAGTATTATTGACGACAACAACATTGACAACAGCAGCAACATTATCTATATTCTTAAATATAAATATACATTTTCATGACTGTTTAAACTTTCTTAGGCAGGAATTCAAATATAGACCTTAATTATGGCTGTCACTACTCGTTGAGGAGCATAAGCGTCGCCCAGCAACACTCTCTATCCAACCTTATCTTGGGCAGTTCTTTCCAGTTATTATTTATTCTTTTCATATCTCCTTCCAATTCTCTATGTAGTGTGTTCTTTGGCCTTCCTCTTCTTTGTTTCCCTTCAAGATTCTAAATTAGGGCTTACTTCGTGATGTAGTTTGATGATTTTTCTAATGTATGTCTAATCCATTTCCATCGTCTTTTCCTGATTTCCTCTTTAGATAGAACCTGGTTGGTCCTCTCCCACAAAAGGCTGTTACTGATGATATCTGGCCAACGGATATTGTGTATCATGCGTAGGTAACTAATTATAAATATTTGTAACTTTTTCATTGTGGTTGTAGTAGTCCTCAACGTTTCAGCTCCGTACAGTAAGACTGTCTTGATGTTCGTATTGAAAATTTTGACTTTGATGTTGGTTGATAGTTGTTTCGAGTTCCATATGTTCTTTGACTCTAGGAATGTGGCCCTTCAATTGTCAATTCTCGCGTTTACATCAGCATCGGATCCTCCTTGTTCATTGACGATGCTTCCCAGGCAAGTGATAGATTCCACATCTTTCAGTGTTTCTCCATCAAATGTGATTGCGTTGGTATTCTCCGTCTTGTATTTGAGGGTCTTGCTTTTTCTTTTATGTATATTCAGGCCTACTGATTCAGAGGCCTTAGTTTTTTTAAAAATTATATTCATCGGAAATAGGTTGAGCTGAAGAGGTTTAGTAGAAATGGTTTTAATTTGTTGGTAGTATTTTTTACAGATTAATCTCAGTTAAAATGTTAATGCTTATCGGAAGACACTGGATAGCTCTTCGTAATAGTATCGCATTACTCAGCAGCATGCACAAGTACCTTCACCAGGTATCTAATCTAGGAATTTCAGATCTTGCATTGATTGCCTAACCAATAGAACAAGTAGGTTAGCATCTAAAGATCAATTTGCAATATAACAAGATAATCATCTAGTCTTATTGTTGTAATCTACATGACTCCCAATATGCATGAATTTCATTAGTCGTGAATCTTGACTTGAACTTCGAGAAAATCTTGAAGTAATTCATTAGTAAGCTAGCCATCTTTTATTTGAGTTTATATGAAGGTAGATTTAAATTATAAGTAATTTATCGTCACAGGGAGTACTGAACTATAGTACGAGACTTCTCACACTTATGAATACATATTGAAGTCTAGCCGTTAACGCTTAGATGTTAGAATCGTTGAGTCAGAGTTCAATAGCATAAGTTCATATTCAATTAACTAACAATATAGAGTAATGATCATTTAATCGAATAGTAACAGTTATTTCATTCCCAACCTGCTTTTACTCTATTGGTTACGAATTTGCTTTAGAACTATAGGAATTTCTAATCATTAATCAGGAGTAGATCATTATAGTTTAGTTGAATGAGTATTACAGGAAGTTGGTTGAAAGTTGTTCAGTTTATTGATTAAGTACTTGACTAGCATAAAATTTTGATTGATAACCGTATAAGAAGTTAACTGAAATGCTGATCAGCAGTTTCGTTCAAAATTAGACCTACTTAATTCTCACGCGCGAACGCTTAACTTGTAGATTAATGAGCCAGTATACAACGGTGTTAATGTCTAACATCAGCCAATCTGCTATAATGCGCGACCGTTCATCATTGTCTTGAGTGGGTAACTGTCTCACAACAAATGCAGCTGAACTCTATTAGTCACGGATTTTCACTAGAACTCCAAAAAATCCATCTTGAAGCTAGTCACCAGTGAGTACATGATAATAATCAGTATAGGGTTGTGGATATTGTTGAGTTTAGATTGGTATTATGAATGGGTCAATGTTAAATCACCATTAAAAACTTGGAAGCACCGAATGGTTGTTTCGTTCCGCGGAGTTTGATATCAGAACAAAAAGACCGTTCGGTGCTTCCGAGTTTTTAATGGTGATGCAACATTGATCCATTCATGATACCAATCTAAACTAAACAGTATCCACAACCCAATACTAACTACTGAATATTGTGGATTGTTGACTATATTAAATAATCCGCACTCACGATCCCTCGAGTAGGACTCAAACTCAGGACCTTAGGTTTCATACGCTGAGAAGTCCTATACTAGGATGAAACAGCCATCCAGTACTTTCAGATTTTCAATAATGGTCTAAGATTGATCGATTCAAAATCTCAATCAAACAGTTAACAATCTCCACAACCCCATACTGATTATTTTTGCTAATTCACTTTCACTTACCAATATCAGCTTGTTTTAAAGCTGGACTATCATTTACTCCATCACCGGTTACAGCAACAATTGCTCCTTGACGTTGACAACCTTCTACTATAATTAATTTTTGTTGTGGACTAGTACGTGCAAATACAATTTCTGGATGATTAGCTAATATATCATCAATTTGTGCTGGAGTCATTTCACGTAAATCAGAACCATGTACTACACAAGCAACGGCTTCACGTGGATTCACCTACAAATCAAGAATAAGAAAAACATGTACAGAAGATAGTACATTTTAAATAAATCGATAATCAAGGACTAGGGAAACGAGTAATTTCCGTCATGATCTAAAGTCACATGAAAAACTATTGATGATCAAAGAGTATAATATAGATGGTTCAACGTGTAATGAAATCTGAACATCATCTGATGTGAACGATTGATTCATTTCGTAATTTAAGTCTATCACATAAGATGATTGATCTAAGAATCTAAGGTTTTATCACGCATATAGTCATGAGATTTGAATTAGAGCAAAACACATATATTCAAAGCTTTGAATGATTCTCCAGTTTATGTCGGTTTATTTCTGAATAATATTGCATAGATAACTCAAAAAAAAAATGTTCTGAATTTTGAAGGATAACCATTTCGCATTAATGTTTTATTCAACAACCTAATATCACCATAAATAGCGTTATTTGTGCAAATATGAATAATCCTGTTAAATATATCAACTCCACCTGAAGCCCCTCTGGGTCTACTGCCAGTCCCAAGCCCAGGTTAGCGACCTCATCCCATAGAAAACGAACTCGCTAAAAAACGCTAACCAGAAAGAATAGTTCAAACCATTTGAACTCTGCCCTGGGAGTTAAAAGGTCTTCATTTAGAAGAGTTATGACGCCTCATAGTGATAGCCAAGTTTATTCAGAAGTCATAAGACTGATGCACTTTCTGACAACCAGAGCAACCATTAATTTAGGTACACGGAATGCTCGTACAATGTGGGAGACCGGAAGAGTCTTCCAAATTGCTGCAGAAATTGTTGTTAAATAGGCCCCTTATCAAACCTAATTTGTATAGCGCTAGGTAGTAACTATAATAACCGTGATACTAGCATGTCAGTTTTTTTTAAATGTTCAATCAAAGTACACGAGCAAGAATAATGAATTCAGATGGGTTCGAGCCCAGGTGTACAAGGTGATGAATATACACTGTTGAAGAGTCCCATACTAAGATGAAACAACCATCGAATGTTTACAGTTTTCAATGATGGCCTAACATTTATTCATTCATGATATCAATCTAAACTCAACAATCTTCACAACTTTATACTGAAAAAAGTAAAATAAAATATTCATAATCATATAGTGTTAGGACAGTAAAATTTGTCATAGAAGAGATTGATAATGATTGCGTGAAATATCACTGATTATCTAAAATTGGAAATATAAACCATTGACTACCAACTTATTGATTGTATAGTAAAGTTGTAGCTACATGACTTACATATAATGAGTTCAAGTCTTAGCAAATTGGGGTATGGTTACATATTCGGGAAAACCTATGGAGTAACGGCTTGACTAAGCCGTTACGTGAAGCTCAGAAGTTTTATATAATGTACCTTGATAATATGCAGTACATATCACATTAAATTTAATCAGTAGTGTCAATGGCTAAGATCATAAGTCAGTTGAAGCTAGACCACCATGGAAAACCTAGAAGCACTGGACGGCCGTACGCAGTGCGTACCCACGGCCTTGCTCCCTGCGAGATTCGAACCCAGGACCTGCTGGTTTCGCGCGCAAGCACTTAACCTCTAGACCATTGAGCTGACCGGTATCCAACGATGTTAATGTCTAACTTCAAATAGTCCACAAAATTGAACGAGAAATCCACCATTGTCATCAATGAGTTACTATCTCACAACAGACCTGGTTGATTTCCACTGGTCGCTACTTCTCAATAGAACTCCAGGATATACCTCTTGAAGTCAGTCACTAGTGAGCATATGTTGATTGATATTGAAGAGTCCCACAATAGAACGAAACGGCTATCCAGTGCTTTCAGGTTTTCCATGGTGGTCTAGCTTCAATTGACTCATGATCTTAATCATTGAAATTACTACAATCTCCACAAAAAACCCATATGATATTCATCAGTAATGTAAAATATTTTATAAACAACTAGATGTTTATCTACATTTCACAAAGGGTTACCCTAATTGTTTTCACATGAGTACTTGTATAATCATATTTCCTTATTATAAATCTATTCCACTTGTAAACAAACCTCAACTTATCTTACAGCATATCAATGAATTCAATATGTCAATCTTAATTTACAATGGAAAAACAAAAACACAACAACAACAACAACAAACGATTACGTAACTACTCATTCAGTCATTCAGTCATTCAGTCGTTCATAACTATTTACAGTAGTGAATGAATTCATTGGTAAAGTGAGTTAATTTATTTTATTAAAAAAAAAAAGAGACTCAACTACTAATTGATGATTTTTACTAAAGTTATTTAAACTGTAATTTGATCCTTTGTAAATTGTTTTGATATTGCCTTAAGCAAAGATGAATAGTAGCTGGCAATAGAATCCCGAATGCATGTTTCATCCTATTTGAGACTTGTCAGCTAGATGTACCGGTATCTTAGATGTGATGATTACTCCAAGACTCTAACGCAATGCAATTTGTTTTAAACACCATCGCGCTGGATTCAATTCCTATAGTGAATATCAACTCTAGGATGTAGGTACATCCTACTGATAATTGATTGTTATTAATAGATATCAAACTAAGACTTAACATAAATGTGTATTCATTCAAGTTATCATAATTCATGTTGTCGTATCAGTAGAGGAAATCAACAGAATATAAAAAGAGATTAGGAGAGATAAAATCAAGTGAAAGTGAAAATGAAAAAGAAAGCAATTGTTCGATCGTCAGTAATGTAAAAACCTGACATCATATGTACATCAGTTGAAGTGGATACATCAAATCGAGATGAAATTATCAAATCATAGTAACAGTATCAATGATAGTGAAAATGTTTAGGTACAGTAAGATGTAAATATTTCTACGAACACTTCGGGATTCTTGATCTGAGGAGAAACAAATGAGCAAATACACAAACATCCGACATCTAAAACTAATGGTTATAATAATCATGATGAATACTATCATGTAATCTATACTTACATACATGTCAACAATAGTATGACATAGCTCAAAAGTGCAATAAGAGAATAAGTGTGATTGAAAGTGAACCGTTTAACTTTCTAAATTGGAGGTATAACACCCTATAGACGGTATGACTCGGGGAGAAAGAATGAATTCATTGAATAGAAAGCATAACATAATTTAAAAATTCAAGATTTATGGGAAGACAAGGAATAAAGTAATCTGCTCCATTGTGACCAACTCTGAGCTTTATCATACAGTGTACTCAACCATCGTCTTTGATAATCGTACGGACCTGATACATGGCTTAATTTAACCGCGAATAACTTCCAACTACCATCTTACCTTGCTAAAATCACAAGAAATGTAAACGAAAGATCCTATAACACACTAAAAGATCTCGATCAACTGTCAGTGGATTTATGGTTCATTACTGTGTCTGGTTCCGTTCATATAATGGCTTTTATTATGTTACTTCAATTTCAGTTTAACATTTGATCTTTTGAAAGATTTAGTAATTTAAAACACATATAATATACATCTGAATAGTTTAGACAAGAACAATTTCACAATATCTTCGAGCAGCTTGGCTCCTCTTTGTAGCATGATCCCAAACAATGTAGAATAATGAATGTTTACTATCTAGAAACTATTTGTTCACATAAACTTACTTGTTCAACAGGTATGCCTTTTTCAGCTGCAATATCCTCGACAGTTTTTGAACCTTCCGAAATTATTCCAACACCTTTAGCAATAGCTTTAGCTGTGATTGGATGATCACCAGTGACCATAATCACTTTAATCCCGGCGGATCGACATTTTGCAACTGCGTCTGGTACTGCTGCACGAGGTGGATCAATCATAGACATTAGACCGACAAAACGTAATCCATTAACTGGAAAATTTGGTTCTTCTTCATTGAATTTAAAATCCCTAAATAAAGTGATAAGCTTCATAGTGTGAGAATAATTATATAGTGACCAAAATAATAGATACAGACTATGGAATCACAAAAATCCCCATTAACACCCCACCCCTTAAAGTAGTGATAATCATATGATCACTGGTGATCAACTTTAAGAGTTGACTATCAGACTTCTAATAAAAGAAGCCGATATTAATGATGCTGAAAAATGGTTGTTCAATATTGTGAATCAATTATAATTAGAAATGTAAATCAATAGATGCTAACTCAGTGGTTTAAGTCTAATTTACTCAATAAGATATGTCAAAGGTACTGAGTTTTCCGGACAGTTCCTGGATACCTATTGTTAAGGGAGTTTCATTTAATGTTACCTATTTTTCAATGGTTCACTAGCTAAAGTCAGCTTTTATTATAAACTATGAAATAAATGGAAAATTTACAATCTTTAAAGTTTTCAAAAACTTCTATTCACTAACAAATGAATAAATATGATAACATTTTAAATACGATTATATGACAGTTTAGTTAGAGCTTCTCTACATTTTAATCAGTATCAGTAGAGTATTAAGTTTAACAATTGTTTAATTATACTAAGATGGTGAATATAGAGTTGTTTTTTTAAAATCTACTTCCTTATTGTCCACAGAATATCAGCTGATAAAAGATGTAAGATTAACAGATCAGTATTTTAATTGAGATCATAAAGCGATCAGTCGTAGACTATCCCAGTATGGGACTCCTCAGCAGTGCATATTGATCAGTTTACGATCTTAATTAAAACTCAACAATCTCTATAATCGTATATGGATTAATATATTTGTAAGCTACTAGTATTTGACTACAGATGCCTTAGAAATATTGCCAGCATCTGTTGGGATCATCGGATAAGTAATGGTGAGGTTAGACTGAGGGTATTAGGGAATTATAATGGTAAATCCGTTGATGAGGTTATGAATCTTCATCGACTGAGATGGTTGGGCCACCTGTTACGTATGTCTGAACACTGATTATCACGACGCACAATTCTGACTAGTGTTGGAGATGATTGGAAGAAAGTTAGTGGCGGCATCAGTGCTTGATGTCACAAAATTCTGGTCTGAGCTATGTTGGTAGATGTAGACTACTTGGTTGGGGTGAGCGCGACTATCGTGACCATTGGTTGGAGACTCTTGGTGACACGGCTTAAAATCGATCACGATGCCGTCGGTTTATACATTCTCTGACTTCCCTTTAAATTATGAGATTAAAATCGCTTCATATCTTTGTTTCTACGAACTAATTCTTTCTTCCTGTACTATCTCCTTATATGTAATCTTTCTTTTATATATTACCACCACTACTTCTATCAACCCGGTGTTCATCTTGCTGTGCTAATGCGGTATGGCAACTTGGGCCGATACATTTATGTGCCTGGTCTTATGTTGCAGCTGACTGACTGACTGACTGGATTAATATTTATTTAACATCTTGACATGATTAGACATTTATTTCACATACATAGTTCTTTCAAGAATTTGTAAATATTCGGTAACTTCCATATATTTTTTTCTTATAGAAGCTGTCATTAGACTGACGATTCATACAAAAGGATTAATTTTAATTCTTTTTGACAAGATTTTTTGGATAAGGATAAATTGCTTCTATAATTCAGAATAGGTCGTTTGAGGCTAACAGTGGATACTAGGACACATATTTGATCTTATATGGGACTCATCATTTGGTCGATGTTAACATTGAGTTTCAGGTACACGTAGATGAGATAAGTCCTATATTCCACTGGAAGCTATAACCCATCTATTCACATGGTTTGTGACAGAGCGGCTATATCGAAACAATCTACATTAGATGTACATATACCGAAAGAAACTGACCAATACTCAGTATTAAGTATCAATAACAACATATATGAAAGCCTTACTAATAATGATAAACTTTTTTCGTAATGCTCATTTCAAGACTAAAATATAGATATGAATAGCACAATATTACCATCACGGACCATAGTGATAAATGATACAGTTATGAATTCCACAGCAACAATCAGTACATTGATGGATGGAGATATTGCTTTACTGATGTGTGATGACTAACAAAAAATCTAGATACCTATCTACTAACTCTTGGAAGTTTATTTATTTGAATCCGTGATACAATTGTTAAGTGGATAAATAGAACTTACCCAACAGTTAACATTAGACAATATTGTAAAATCAGTTGCCCAATATAATTCATTTGTTTAATTTAGATTATTTTATTTGACTCAGAACTATACAGTCAGTGTAAGGGCTAATGATAACACCTAATCGATTTTGAAACGAACATTTCTCCTTTGTAAAAATTCAACTTTATATTCAAAATGAATAAGTTAATATAAGACGTTGGAGACTAATATAAACTGTTTATGTAACCGGTTACAATCTGACAAATTAGCTCTATATATATATATATATATATATATATATATATATATATATATATATATATAATCATTACTCACTTAGGATAAGTTTCAGCTGGTAAACGATAATCACAGAATCCAAGTACTCGTTCACCCATTCCACCTAATTTCATGTAAGATTTATTAAATTGTTCACGCATTTCATCATCTAAAGGTTTTTCTTCACCATTAAGTAGAATAGTACTACAACGATCAATAATACGTTCAGGTGCACCTTTCATAACCAATAAGTAACGTTCATCATTGTCATCAGTTTCATGAATTGACAACTAAATATGAAGTTATAATGATCCAAAAAAAATAAATAAATTTATCTAATAAAATAATAAGAAATTAAACTATAAACCATTTTCTATTGTTTATCCAGTAAGTACTACAATAATAATCGTAAGAATATGTACTATAGATTTTAGAGTAAAGAAATAGTACCCACTTGTGACAATTCTCCTAATAGTGAACGACAACATAAATGGGGATACCCAATTGTATTCAAATATAAAATCACAAAATTTCTTAGTAAATTCTGAGAACTATACAATAGATACTTTATTTGGTCTGAAACTTGTTTCATCATTTCTATGTCAATCAGTCTTACTAACCTTCTTCTTCTTCTTCTAGACATTCCACTTATATCTGTCAACATCATTATTGTACACTACACTTTTATTTTTATTCTACTTCCGATGTTTATAATAGTCTTGGAAGTACTTCGTTGATTTTCTTAAATTCACTCTGTCTTCAATTGTATTATTTATTATTTATTTTAACACATAGATATTGGTACAAGGAGGTATCAAATACATATGCGCCACACAAATCTCATTTGATATGTGTGAGGACTGTGATACTGCCCGGATGCCCAGATTGAAGCAGATGGTTTTCTTAGGGGGCCACACCCGGAACCTTTGACCTGAACATCTGATCCACAAGGTAGTGAAGCATCGCGGGGAGATGCAGTCACATGTTAGCCGGTGATCAACGATTAATTCATACGCCATTTGTTCTGTCAGGATACTGGAGCCCATGTACACCATTGATTTGGGATCCGGTTAAAGCACGGGACATTCACTTTTCGTCCTCTCATTTTCGTAAACAACACCCCCGCCACGAGAAGGCAGTGAGTAGGACTTCCCTGGCAGAGGCTATATACGTGTGGTCATGTGAGAGCATTTCGAGATGGAGAGCGTACTCTCCCCACTCTCGGCCGTACCAGGACATTTGGGGGCGTGTCTTCAATTGTGTTGATAGTGAATTGATAGTTGGAGATCCCGATTGATCGCATAATTTATGGTTTTATTTAATGAACTGTTTTTTTTCAATGTATTACCTCCATAAATTGTTACTCTTTCGATATGCTCTCATATGATCACGTGCATACAACCACTGTCAGGGTATTACAACTCTTTGCCTTCTCGCATTACGGGTATTGTTTATGAAATTGAGCGAACGAAATACGAATATCCTGCGCATTAACCGGGTTGCTGAACACAAAGAGTTCACCTAGGGAAATTGGAAACCCCTCATTCCAAAACAATGGTGCATATGGGCTCCAGTATCTTGAATAAACAAATTGCGTATGAACCAATTGTAGGACACCGGCAACCATGGAACTATATCTCTTAACTAATATTGCTCCACTGCCTTGTGGATTGGACCTTTAGGTTGAAAGCTCAGAGTGTAGCCCATTAAAAAAAACATCTGCATCGGTTTGAGCACTCATGCAGTATTACAGCTCAGAAACAAATCAAGTGACTTGTGTAGTACAGATATATTCGGTTCGTCTTTGTACCAATATGTTCAAATAATAATAATAATAATAATAATAATAATAATAATAATAATACTTCAATTGTATCGAACGAAAGAAGAACCAAATTACTTACTTGATATTTATTTGTAGAATTAAATGGAATTTCTAAAATTTTACGATTTTTAAGTCTATATTCAATAACTTTACCAACATATAATTCAGTACATTTTAATATAGCTGTCTCTGATGCATCACCATTACATTCACGTTTTAATACTGGTTTATTTTCTTCACCAGTTTTAAATTCAGCACGATTACATAACATTGCAATACATGATAATGCTTTCCATGTTGGTGAAGTTTTATTAAAATGTACACCTATCAATTAAAAAATATAAAAACTTTTTTATCCCATTATTAATATTATATAACTAAACTTGAATTAATCTTAATTAACATATAGGACTCAGTAACTAAGTGGATAACTCGATGGCGTTTGAAGCGGACGGTACTAGGTTCGAGTCCCAGAGTGAACATCAACTCTGAGATGCAGGTACATCCAGCTGACGAGTCCCAAATAGGACGAAACGCGCGTCAAACTGGATTCCACTGCTAGCCACTAATTAACATATGACGTTTCTATGGTGATTGTTTCAATATAACCATTGTGTAAAAAATGCTTTATGAACTGTAATTAGCAATGTAATCAAGGATATATGTTTCATTTTATTATATTGAACTAATCGGTTGAGTGAATATCTCCTTCTGTTGTGAACAGATTCAAATACAATATAAAACATTTTATGAATTTCACCGCTTGTCATAATCTATCTCTTTTCTTAAATGGGGAATTAATATTTTGATTGTTTTTATACAATTTTCAATCAAGTAACTTCATTCTAGACAGAAGATAGTTTATGAATTTCAGAATAATTTGAAGGGTTTTTGAAGATGATTTAATTTTCTTTTTTTTTTTTTTTTTATAATTTACACATAAGCTAATTGGATGCTGACCCATTGATCTGAAGACAAAGCACTGATTATGACACTGAAATGTCTTGGGTTCAATCCTTAGGTGAACATATGGTGCATTACGATGAAAAACTTGTTCAACTAAGCTCAGTCAGTGAAATCGCAAGTGTTAGAAACGTTAAATGAAAATCTCTACATAAAAAACGGGGAGGGGGGGCGGGAAAGGGGGTTAGGCAATGTAATATTACCTGTTTGATTCTCTGATGTATCAGCTTCAAATATTTTATTATCAAACCACATATGAGCTACAGTCATACGATTTTGTGTTAATGTACCAGTTTTATCTGAACAAATGGTACTTGTTGAACCAAGTGTTTCAACAGCTTCTAAATTTTTTACTAAACAATTTTTACTAGCCATACGTTTAGCGGTTAATGTCAGACATACCTAAAAGATAAAATAATAAGGAATATATGTATTATATACTGATGAGTATCTCTAAGAGGATTGATTCAATGACAAATTTTGTTATAGTCTATAAAGAACTAAAAGTTAAAACTATTGATTATAATGTAAATATGTTCATTTTGGTTTCTATGAATAATATTCCGTGAGACGATAGCAACCGATGGTTACAGACTTTGAATATGACATGGCTTAAAATCGTTTGTAATGGCTCAGGTGAATCGACTCTTTGTGTTCTCTCAGATTCTAATCTTCTGAATTCTTTATTTCCGTTATTTTTTCTTTTTCCAAATATATTTCATTGGATTATACTCCTTGAATAGTATCTTCAAACCTCATGTTTTCGACTACTGATTATTGTTTTACTACATCTACGATTATGGAAGTTGAAACGATAATTGTATCTCTACTCTAATATGATATGGCAACTCGAACTAATGTACGTACGTACGAAGTTCTAAGTTGTTGCTAACTGTTGTGTGGGCGAGAATGATCATGATTGGTTGTCTACTTAGTCAGACATGTAGATAGTCTGACAGGTTTCAGATAAGTTATATCTTCCCTTATCCTTATTATTGTGACTCACTTATATACATATATACTTATTATTGATTGTTCATTGTTGTGGATTGTGTCGGTTTTTGGTGTACAAATATATTCACGTTCTGGTCAGGCTGATGACATGTTCTTGATCTGAGTCGCGTTGAAGTCCTGTAGAATAGACACTGAGAGGGATCTAGTGTAGATAATCATTTAAGCGTTATAACATTAGACGAAGTAATGCCGAGCGTTATAACACTAACTTACTGACATAAATTGTTGCAGTTCAAAGTTATCGATTAATTCAGGAAATATGATCTTTAATAATAAGGTAGTTTAGGAAGATAGTTGAATCATGTAGGTCACATCACAAAGTGATCTCAATTAAATGATTATTAAAAACCAGACATCAATAAAAAACTGTTTGTTCTTCTGTGGGACTCCTCAGCACTGGATACAGATAACTTCTATACGCAGTTACTCTCAGATTCAATAGTTCATCAATGTCGATTATGAGGCGGTAACCTGCCAATCGAATCAAAAGATAGTTTTTGACCATCACAAATTGAATGAAATTAAACACGTAAACAATTGAATTCCAGCTCAGTGGTCTAAATCTTAAGCTGTCGTCATACAGTATTAAGCTCCTCGGTTCAAATGTGAATGTCCACTATTGGCATACTTACTTAATTTCGCCTCTTACACCGAATGGAGCGTAGGCCGCCGAACAGCATTCTTCAACCCATTCTGTACTAGGTCTTCTTTTCTAGTTCTATGCGGTTGTTGTTCATTATTCTGATGTCTGTCATCATTTGTCGGCGTAATGTTTCCTTTGATCTTCCTCTTTTCCTTTGGCCTTAAAGATTCCAAGTGACGAGAGCTTACCTTGTGACACAATTGGATGCTTTCTTCAATGTGTATCTTATTCACTTCCAGCGATTCTTCCTGATTTCTCCCTCCACTGGTATTTGGTTTGTTCTCTCCCACAATAGGTTGTTTCTGATAGTGTCTGACCAATGGATCTGAAGTATTTTGCGCAGACAACTGTTAATAAACACTTGTATCTTCACATTTGTATTGAAAATTTTGGCCTTGGTGTTGGTTGATAGACAGTTGTTTTGAGTTCCAGATGTTCTTCAGTTGTAGATACGGTACTTTTGTTTTGCCGATCCGTGCCTTCACATCTGCATCAGATCCACCGTGTTCATCAATAATGCTGCCCAGATATGTAAATGTTTTTCCATCTACCAACTTTTCTCCGTCAAATGTAATTCGATTGGTGCATACTACGTTGTATCAGAGAAGCCCATTGTTGAGGAGTCCTATAATTGAATAAAAGAGCTATTCCATACTTCTTAGTATTGATTTGTTCTCTACATAAGGTCAATCCGTTATGTAAACTATAACCTAATATCTTCAACATTTTAATTCCAAAATGCTAACAATTTCTATTATGAATCCAAGGAGAAAAACAGAATAACATTTTAGTAAAATTCAAAAAAAAAATCAATAAAAACATACTGTAACCGTAGCTAATAGACCTTCTGGTACATTAGCTACAATAATACCAATTAAGAAGATTACAGCTTCAAGCCAACGATAACCCAATATAAAAGCAATAATAAAGAATGTTACACCAAGAACCATTGCAACAGCTGTAATTAAATGAATAAAATGATTTATTTCTTTATGGATTGGAGTTTCGCCAAGTTCTAAACCAGATGCTAAATTTGCTATACGACCCATAACAGTACGATCACCAGTACTGATTACAATACCACGGCATGTACCTAAATATTAAAGTAATATGGGCAGATATATATGTTTAAATAGGAAATCTATTATGTATTATTATAATAAATATTCACTAATTAATTTGATAAGGGCTGAAATTGTAATATAACTAAACATTTTTAGCTAATTGTTAAAACTCCGCCTGGAGTCCCTCCGGGGGCTACTGCCGGTCATAAGCCCGGATAAAGGAGGAGGATTGGGCATAAGGGTTATCGAACCTATCCCGAAGAAAACCAACTCGCTAAAAAAACACTAACCAGCTAATTTTTAAACTATCATTTCAATGTCCTGTAAAAATGTATTGATGTAAAAGTATTCAAAATGAAACTGGAACATTCAGTGAAATTCAACAATCAACTCCACAACCGCATACTGATAATGATCATGTGCTTACTGATGACTAGATATGAGAGGGAATTTTCGGAGTTCCAAAAAGAAACCGTGACTAGTGGAACTAATCGATGTGGAGTGTGAAGCAGTTACCTACTAAAGACAATGAAAGATGGTCACACGATGTTGTGAATTGATTGGAGTCAGACATCAACAGTGTTAGAAACTGGCTTGCATCTGTGCGCCAGACCATAGGTCCTAGGTCCCATTCCTTCATATGGGATTATGGATGCGCACTACCAAGAAGTTTTATACTAGAGCAAATTGCCGTCCAGTGTTTCCAGGTTTTTAATAATGGTTTAACATTGATCGGTTCATGATTTTAATAAAATTCCTTAACCATATACTGATATTTAGCCAATGATCATAAACTATTTACATGCGGTACTCATTTTAGAATCGATGAAGTATATTGCATCTTTTACTGTCTTTTGAGTGTTAATTACGCTTAATTGAAGTAGTGTATAATGAAGACTATCATTTGTTTAGGGAATGTAGAAGACATGCAGGTTTTGGATCATAAGTGTCTTTTTAAGAACAACTGAAATAGGATTGTTGAGTTTAAGCATAGAGCACTACATAGAGGTGCCAAGCCGGTTATTGAGTTCGTATGTTTTCATTGATTAGGATGTTTAGTACATATGCTGCGTATGCTCAGCTATCGCTTACCTAGACGAGGTTGGATGCTGGTGTAAACATAGGTTTAGAAGAAAGCAACTAGGTAAAAACTAAATCTTGATGTTTGTTTATATGATCAGTGCTTATTACTCTGATCCATGTTGATAAATCAAAACTAACTGGTTGTGATTCGCGTAACAACTGCGATAAGTGGTTGTAAACGTTGAGTGACAGGGTTCAAAATCGTTCACGATGGCACATTTTTGTCTGGATTGAAAAAAAATGCATCTCTGATTGATATGTATAAAACATAAACATCGATATACCGATGTTATTCAGTAACTATCGCATACATGATCTTCAATCTTTTTTAATACATGACGAGTGAATTGAAATTGATTAAATGAGAAAAGAAAGCAACAGAACATGAATTACAGTTCAAACATTTAATTGAAAGATTCCGTGATTGGAGTTAAAACCTTAATGATTTACATTTTAAGTTAGTTGACATTAGTCAACCTATAATCTCCACTTCACTTTGTAAGATTTGAATCTGTATCACTTAGTTTCACAATAATATGCATTATTACAACTGAGGTGATCAAATAAAAATTCAATCAATGGAATTCATAGTTATATATATATATATATATATATAATCTACCCTTGTGGATCAGGGTAATTTTACATTGATTTTCAAAAGAGCCAAACACCACCCAAGTTTAAATATTATAGCTCGAGTAGTGCAGCTCAATCCCACTTTACAAGAGAACCAGAAACCGTATAGGCTTTAACGCTAAAATCTACAGCTTAATCCTATGGCGCAACCACACAGGTACCAAGCACCTTGGTGGATCAATCAATGGAATTCCGTCAATACTAAAGTACCAGACAAATATAAAACTGATCGCTATTCATTGGTTAAAATTCCAGTATGTTTAATTTCGGTGAGACTAGAATTTATAGACGACGTTTGACAGACACCAGACTAATCTTGTGAGTGTTCACCTAATAACCAGAATCAAATGAGGATTATAAAGCTGTGTAATGATTAGAGATTAGAAATTAAATTTAGGGTTTCCCATCATAAATTGACATCAGCTATAATGTCCAAAACTCTATTTATTCAAATGAATGAATGAATGAATGAATTTCGCGCCAAAAATCCAAGATCTGTTATCTTATACATGATTGGTTCACATTCATAAATTATAGTTTCACCATCATTTTATACAAATAACTTACCATCAACAGCATTAGTTGAGAAAAAGGCTAAATTTTTTGTTTCTAATGGATTTTCATTAGAAAACTCAGTTGTACGTGATTGAGGCTCTGATTCACCAGTCAAAGCTGAATTATCTACCTAAAACGTAGATTTTTTTTTCAACAAAAAAAAAACAAAAACAAACAATGATTCGACAGTTATATTCCATTAATTTTAATAATTGGTTAAATATGATTATTATAGGATTGAAGAATAAATTACGTAGACGAGTCACCCCTTCCTGTATACACTAATCAATTCAACTATTTTTGTGGAACAAGTTATATTAGTAGATATTTGGGGGGGGGTTTCCCTTTCGTACTCGTGAATTACCCTCCCCCTCTCCTTCAGTGTAATTGAGTAAAGGTATTGTTGCAATTGGTAACAGATCAGTTTTTAGCTCATTTAATACAAACTGGTCATACATAATATTTTGTTAATAGTTATTTGCCTGAACGGTTGAAGTAATAGCTATTCGAATCAACAACTTGAAGCTTTGTGTCTAGCGTATTTTTTTTCACCGTGACTAACAACTGGCATTTTAATAATATGATGAAAAGGTATTATTGCGATACATACAGCTCCCCCCTCAATGTTTTCTTCAAGCTTTAATCATATATCTTAGTATCATTATAATTGTGACGCATGTAAATATCCGAGAAATATGAGTAGTATCCACCTTTATTTATTGGATAGAATGTTGCTTCCACCCGTTTAGTTAGTGAATGTCATATATAGAAGGGTATTTTTCATTGGAGATTTTATTCTAATCTCTAGACGGTCGTTTCGTCCTAGTATGAAACTCTTCAATATTGCCTATCCACGACCCCTCGTGCTGAACTTAAACCTAACACCTTCATAAATTTATTTATACTGTAAATTTGCTTATCTAGTTTATTTAGCTTTGATTTTCATCAATGTTTACTTGGATTAACTTGGGTTAGTAAAATGAACAGATGATTTGAGAACCCAGGACATCAAAATCGAAGAAAAAATATCTCAGTATAGGGTTTTAGAGATTATTAAGTTTTTGATTAAGATCATGAACCGATTGATATTAGATTAACATGGAAAACCTGGAAGTACTGGACGGCCGTTTCGTCCTATTGTGGGATTCCTCAGTGGCAGTGCGCATCCATAGTCCGGCCTGCGGTATTCAAACACAGGGCTTTCGGTGTCCCACGCGAACGCTTAACATCTAGACCATTGAGACGGCATCCAACGATGTTAATGTTTAACCTCAACCAATCCACGAAATTGCGCAACCACCTTTTACTGTAATGAGTTGGATACCTGTCTATACCTAACACGGATCAGCTCCACTGATCACGGCTTCTCACTAGAACTCCGAGGATTCCCACCCGAAACTAGTCACTAGTGAGCACATGATAATTGTCAGTATGAGGTTGTGGAGATTATTAAGTTTTTGTGATTGAGATCATGAACCGATTGAGGTTATAAATGAATTAACATTTGAGAACTAATCTATAAATCAGACTGTTAATTCATCTGGTTTATCACATATATTAGTCATATAGAAACATTATTACTCAATTGTATTAATCAAAACAATTAAATCCTAACTAATACAGTTCCTTTTGTCTTTATAGCTAGATTTCCTAACCAAAATGAATGAAAGACGTGACCAGTGCAGCTAATTCGTATCGGGTAGAGACAGGTATCTACCTCAGTAAATGGAAGATTGGTTGAGGCTAGGCATTAAAACCATTGGATACCGGCTCAGTTGTTCAGTAAGTTAATCGTTCGCGCGCGAAACTGAAGACCCTGTGTTTGAATCCTGCGAGCGCAATCTTGGATGCACATTGCCGAAGAGTCCCACAATAGAATGAAATTGACGTCCAGTACTTTCAGGTTTTTTATGGTCGTCTAACATCAATCGCTTCATGATCTTAATCATAATGAATTCAATATATTTACTTACTTTAAATGAACTTGCAGTAATAATTCTTATATCAGCTGGAATACGATCACCAAATTTCACTTCAACTATATCACCAACAACTATACTTTCTGCTGGTACTTCAGTTTTTAAACCATCACGTATAACAAGTGCAGTCTGAAAGATTTGTATGACATTACATAATGATACAACAACAAATGAGAATAGGAAAGTGGTATTATTACTGAAAATACTGAATATAAATATGATACCAAGTGACTTTATATGTTATAGTTCTCTAAAGAGATGAGCACAAATGATAAATGTAACTAGCCTCCACAAAATCTTTTTGAACTAAAACCACTAGTTACTTACTTCATGGTGTTATTAAAGTTCTAATGAGAAGTCATAACTATTAGAGTTCAGAAATGTTATTATTGAAACAGTTTTCATCTATGGGAGTAGATCATTTTCGTATCATACTGTAAATTGATTGAAGCTGACATCATACTAGTGGACAATGACCCAATGGTTTTAGTGGTTGGAACTTGAAAGTGCTGGATTCAATGTTTAGTGAAGTTGTGGATGTTCACTACTGAATAGTCCTATACTATAACTGAACAGCTTCTAAATATTCCTTCTGTTTAACTGAAGTCAACTTGTGGTAAATACAGCTCGTAAATTAAACCAGTCTTCACAAAACCTCTTTCGATTAGAAGTCGTTAAAATACTTGATTTAATTCTTACTGTTGTATGTCATCATTTTTTTCTGAAATTGTAATGACTTGTAATTATATCCATATCAATATATCGATCATTCAATAAATGACGACGAGCAACATGTTCGAGGTGATGGAGAAGATTTTTAGCTCTGGTGGAGTAGACTACTGCTTGAAGTTTGTGCTGATGATGATGTTCAGAGGAACGTTGAAAGCTCCACAATCAGACCATCTAGCTCAGAGAACAAAACTTCACCAAAAGGCATCATCTTTGCTTAGTTTTCAATGCTAATTGACAGAAACCTATCGATCATGTTTAAACGACTCGACATTACGTGTAATATATTTAGCTGCTACGTTGCCATCTAAATATTTTACTGGTAGCGTACTGGATTGTGAATCTAAGTAACGAGGATTTAAATACCATAAAGATCATCAGTTAATTGAAAATTGTGTGTCTTGCAAACCAGTACCAACCAAAATAAAACCCAGATTTAGGGTTTCCTATCAACTGCCTTCAACCCTCTATCGTTTTTATTTGTCGATAATTCATCGTAAATAACAATTTTGGTAGGTTACCTAAAATTTAATCCAAATTTGATATTTTTGGTTCTAGAGTCGTTGGACAGTCTATTCATTGTATCATAGCTTCTCATCATCCAGAAAATCTGAATGCATGTATGTGTGTATTAAACTAGAGAACCCAAACGCTCCAAAAGGAACATTTAAGTAGTAGTATATATATATATATATATATATATATATATATATATATATATATATATATATATATATATTCTCCGTTAGACGAAAAATCATCCCGACTTTATTATAGACAGTGTAAGTATTTGAAGGTTAGGTTGACTATTTATTAATAAGTAGAAATTTGTTAACAGCTCACCTAGAATAGTTAATTTGGTTTGCAAGTTGGATAAAGGGGTTGAAAAACGTTCGGATAGCTTTGTTTTATATTTAGATAGAGAAGGAGAGAGAAATTCACCTCCAATACTCTTTAATTATAACTTTGACTTCAGAAAACACTGTATTTAATCAGTCATCATCATAACACAACTATATTATCAGTATAGTCTAAATCAATAAAGAAGTCTCTAGGTAAAATGTCATTCTTGGATGATCAGGAGTTAAATACCTACGTCTAAAAAAATATTTCTAACGAAAATAAACTAAGTTTTTAAAGTAAGAAAACCTGATAAATATCACTTGACAAATAATCGTTCATAATTGAGTTCATGAGTCAATTAAATCTAGACTACCATGAAAAACCTGGAAGAACTCGACGGCCATTTCGTCCTAGTATAGGACTCCTCAGCAGAATTTTCATTACAAATGTCAAAACAGTACTACTGTATGAAGCGGAGACTTGGAGAACTACAAAAATCATCATCCAGAACATACAAGTCTTCGAAAAAATACTTTGGATCCTTTGGCCAGACACTATTAGCAACAACCTATTGTGGGAGAGAACAAACCAGATACCATAGGAGGGAGAAATCAACATGAAGAACTGGAAGTGGATAGAACACAAATTGAAGAAAGTTCCCAACTGTATCACAACGCAATCCCTCACGTGGGATCCTCAAGTTCAAAGGAGAAGAGGAAGACCAAAGGACACATTACGCCGAAAAATGGAGACAGATATGTGAAAAATGAACAGGAATTGAATAGAACTACAAAGGAAGGTCTAGGGAAGAGTGGTTTGAAGAATGTTGGTCGGCGGCCCATGTTTCATTCGGAGTAACAGGCGTAGGTATGTTGTAAGTAATATTTTCTTTGAATACAAGTGAATATTCATTTGTTGTGTTAAACTGTCCTCATAGATTAGTTGAACTTAGTATATTTTCTTTACCACTTGAAATCAATAAAACAGAGTGATCTAGCATTATTTAAACTTTCTTTCACAATGATTTACTTCAATTAGTAACAAAACTGTTTAGTTTTATTATACGTAACTGCTTGATCTTTTGTACCAGATTCCTCATCAATATGTATATACGACTATATCATGAGTTGAAATCTGACATTCGGATCTTAAAAAAACTACATTTACATCGAATAACCCCATGAGTTAATTTATGATACTGTACAATTATCATGAATTAACATAGGACCTATCTATTTCACTAATAATATGGTCAAGTATTCATTGCTCATTACTTTCAAACTAGTTGTCTATTTAACATTTTACTCTATAATCTCTAATGATTTACATTTAATAATATTGTACAGAATTAAAATATAACCTTAATACCAATTAAATTATTCATTTTATAGAATACAATACAATCATCATTATTAAAATGCCGTGGTATGGTCGAGAGTGGGGAGAATCAGCTCTACATTTCCAAATGCTCTCAAATGGCCACGTGTATACAACCACTATCAAGGAAGTCTTACTACCTTATCATACCACGGGTATTGTTTACAAAATTCAGAGGACGAAAAGCGTATATCTAGCACTTTAACCGGGATGGCGGATACGGAGGATCTACCTAGGGGAGTTGGAAAACCACAATTCTAAACCAATGGTACATATGGACTCCAGAATCCTAAAGTAACAAATTGCGTATGAACCGATTATTGATCACCGGCTACCACCAGACTGCATCTCCTAACGTTGCTCCACTACGTTGTGGATTAGACCTTTAAGTCAAAGGCACCGAGTGTGGCCCACTAATAAAACCACCTGCTTCGGTGTAGGTGACCAGGCAGTATCCTAGCCCTCACACAAATCGAATGATCTATGTAGAGCATATCTATTTAGTGCCTTCTTGTACCAGTATTTATGTGTTCACATAAATAAATAAACTTGCTTACTTGTGGAACTAAATTTTTAAATGAATCCATAATACGTGATGATTTTGATTCTTGATAATATGAAAAACATCCAGTAATAACAACAACAGCGAGTAAAACAATACCAAGATACAACTAAAAGAAATAATCATAAAAACAATAAAAAATTTTAAAGAAATAAATTATTATTATTATTATTATTATTATTATTAGTAGTAGTAGTAGTAGGAGGAGGAGGAGGAGGAGGAGGAGGAGGAGGAGGAGGACGAAGAGGAGGGGGACGAGGAGGAAGAGGACGAGGAGAAGGAGGAAGGGGGACTAAAAGGAGGAGGAGGAGGAGGAATGAGGATATGTGAATAATTTCAGACAGAATAAATGAGAATATTTTTATATAAAGGTTCCCACTTAATAAGATTACATAATCATCGAATCAATCAATACTTAATTACTTTACATTTTTATCTTATGATGAATCTTATATAAGGACGAAACACTTATTATAACATATCATTAACTATGATCAATTTTTTATAAAAGTGATAAAACATAAAAATCTTTACAAAATATTATGATAACCTAATAGAATCATGAATCTACTATTAGACTATATATATATCAGAATTAATCTTAATAGATAATTATCTTTATTGAATTTATACTTTCTAAATTATTACTTATTACAATGTGTAGTGTTTTCTCTTTACGGAGTTCGTTTTCTATGAGATGAGGTCAATAACTTTTATACCTACCTTTCCTGATTTATCCGGCTTTGGGACTGGCAATAACTCTAGAATATCTATGGGTGGAAACTTGAAAGGAAGTGAAAAAAATTGGAAGGCCAAAGAACTATAGTACGTCAGGAAATAGAAGTAGATATGAAAAAGATGAATAACAACTGGAAAGAGCTGGAAAAGATTACTCAAAACAGGGTTGAATGGAGAGTGTTGGTGGGCGACCTATGCTCTTTCACGAGGATTAACAGGCGTAAGTAAGAATTTGTAGGATAAAATCATTGAATCAACTAACTGAAGTAAGTGAATAATGACATAGAAAATAAGATATTTTTATTATAATTCATGTTATAATGATGTGTATAATGAGAATTGATTACTCAACTGAAATAAGAAATTAATAAGTGATTATACTGATATTATGAGATTGGCATTGTTATAACTAAAAAATGAAAAGCATAGGACAAAACAGCTGTCTAGGGCTTCTAGATTTTCCATTGTGATCTAGGTTCAAATGACTCATGATCTTGTAGTGACCTACTTTTGTCAACAGAACGCGATTGGTTTAATGAAAACAATCATTATTATAACCAATTGTGCCAGTGATTGTTTTACTGTGCTCGTTTGTTTAACTGTGCTAATGACAGCCATTACTCCCCCGTTGACTTTGAACTTGTACGAATTTGGTTGCGTTTAGTAATTACGCTTGTACTCCTTTGCCACGATCTCGGTATTCTTTCGATACCACGAGATCGCCAACAAATACATCTCGACTACAGCCATCATCTGCCTACTGATATTGGCCTACGGGGATCCTATTGGATAATTGGCACGTAGTCTTGTAGCGGTGTTCATAGTCAAGCTCAACTCGACACCACGCTACAATCTCAATTATTTAAATTACTATAATATCCACAAAAAATCCATTCTGATATTAATCAACATATGCTCACAAGTGACTCGATTCAAGTTGAGATACTTTCTAGGTCCACAAACTAAAGCGAGTAGTTTTCTCAGAAGGTCACTCATCGAACCTTCGACCCAGAAGTCTAATCCATAAGACAGTGGCGGAACGTTGGGTGTTGCGGTCGCATAGTGGCCAGTGACCAGATCTATGCGCCAATTTTTCTTCTAGAGTTCTAGTGAGAAGTAGTGACCAGAGGAGTTCAACCGAGTCAGTTTTGAGATAGTAACTCACTGATAACAATGGTGGATGTGTCTCCCAATTTCGTGGATTAGTTGAAGTTAGACATTGACACCATTGGATGCCGGCAAGCTCGGTGGTCTAGTTGTTAGGCGCTCGCGCGCGAGACTGATAGGTCCTGGGTTCGAATTCCGCGAGGCGGGATCGTGGATGTGCACTTCTGAGGAGTCCGACAATAGGACGAAACGGTCGACCGGTCCTTCCAGGTTTTCTATGATGATCTAGCTTCAACTAACTCATGATCTCAACTACTGAAAGCATATCTTTTCTTTCTTTATAACTCTTCAGATGTAATCATCTTTATAGTTACTATCTATTATTTATTTGTATAAATTGTGAATGGACATTATTAATCGATCAATCAATAAATATGATTATTTTTGCCTTTCAAATAAGTACTATTTACTTCACTTACGTTTCGACTTTATTGACTACAGTTTATGATTAAAGATTATGTTATAATGGTATAATCTCCTTTAAAAGCCTTCTATACTTAATGGAACTAATTGGTATAGATTACTATTCAATAACGATATCGGGTTTATACTTTACTTCACTTTGTCGATGGCAATCGTGCAACAAATCGTCTGTTGATTGAATTCACTCCATTTGTAGTAATTATCCTCTAAAGAACTTTGAAGTAACACTCCTTAAATAACGGTGGTTATCGTTTTGTTATATAATATATTATTTTGTTTTCAGTGTTACTTTCTACCGTTATCATCTCTTTTAAATTCACCTGGAATTGTTTATTTAAATCTCGCACAAACAAATGGCTATCAGGATTCAGTTGCTAAGTGGATAACAAGATGGCGTTCGAAACGAACGGTGATGGGTTCTAGTCCTGTATTGAACATCAACTCTGAAGTGCAGTTACATTCAGCTGACGAGTCTTAAATAGGACGAAACGTGCATCCTAGATTCAACTGCTAGCCACTGTCCAATGTTTGTGATATGATGGAAAGGAAGTCAATATTCGATTGATTTACTCATTATGAGTTATGATTCAACATTACTTCTGTTTTGATTTAATGTAATTATTACTCAATGTAGTATTTATTTTCTTTTCTCGTATGATATTTTATTTTGTATAATATACGATATTCTTGTATTTAATTGACATGAACTACGCTCTATATGTGATTTGTGATAACTGAGTATTTTTCATGTATGTGATTTCATTCTAATTATTAATCGAAATGGTTGTATAATCAATATATAAATGAGTGTATTTTCGACTAAGGTCGTCGTCGTCATCATAGTGTTTTGGGGCTAATAAACTTCGCTTATATCAGTCTTGTGTTCTTACTTTCGCGTCGTGGGAATTGTGGAGGTCCCTTCGTTCCGAGCATAAGTGGTCAGCGATTCCGACATAACAATCAGCGACGACCAGATACAAAAGTAGCATTCGATTTTACAAGTCATAACAACTGGAGACGGGGATTTTGGAAAACATTCACAAGACATAACAGTTTGTTTATCATCATCTTTGCATATTGTCTTATTTTATTAAAGTTCTTTTATAAGTTCACTATAGAGAGTTCACTCCAAAGAAGTAAATAGTTCAATAACATTAACCAGGATTAAAGTATCTTGTTTAATGAGAATAACCTATTGGACAATTTAATTTTTTAACTTGTACATACATAGTTTATATTCAAAAGTGTACATCTTAATTATCATTGAAAAACTTCTGCATAAGATAGTATCATTCAATCAAATGAGAATTCCAGCTATGTCATGCATAATTACTTGATCAGTGCATACTTTAAAGATGTATACTATTGTTATATTAGTTTATGATCATATATATAAATAGTCTATTTAAGTAGTTTATAGAATATACAATGCAAACTATGTCAATTTCATTATTGTCTATTATCTACAGTTTTCTTTTTTCAGAAAATTAATTAATTTTTTGAATCAGACATATAGTAGAATGAGTTACAAAAGCATAAATGTATTATAGAAAGAAAAAAGAAATTGGCAAGGATTAGTACAAACAGGCATCAAACTATGAATATAGATCACAGAAATCATTGTGTTTGTGTGTAAGTTAACATAATTTCTAGGTCCCCAAACCAAAGCGAGTGATTTTCTCAAAAGGTAACTCAACCAACCTTTTCCCCAGAAGTCTAATCCATAAGACAGTAGAGGAACGTTAGGTGTTGTTGTCACATAGTGGCCAAAGGCCAAGAACAGATTTATGCACTACTTGTTTTCTTAGAATCTTGATGCCTATATGCACGATTGATTTTGAATCAGGGTTTTCCAACTACACTAGGTGGATGCTTCGTAGCCACTAACCCGGTTCGGATGCCGTATATTCACTTTCCAAACTTTCAATTTGATAACTGACATCCCCACCGTGAAAAGACAGTGAGTAGAATTTCTCTAGAAGTGGATATTTACGATTTTGTGTTTTTCTATATTTTGACACCATATTAGTACAACCACGTTAAATTAACAGGACGAATGGAAAAAGTCTGAATAGTGTAGTTATAATGACAATAAGAGAAAGAGAACACAGATAATATGATTCGAAAAGACAATGGAAAGGTATATATGAAGGAATATTAGAAACTGAAATCCCGATCATGAACGATAATGTGACCGATTACCATCCATATCAGCCAACACCTCTAGCCACTGATCTCAGTCATCGTGGGGATTTAAACCATGTAGTCTGGATTTACCAACACAACTCAAACAAATTGTCAATGGTTTCATGGATTGTTACTACTTTTTACTTTGACCTTCTCTTCCTTAACCAACTTCCAGACCAGCAGCTGACATTACTCATCTAGTTAATCGGTAATTGCTTATAAGTAATAAATGTCCTTACCAATTTAGGTGATGAAGATTCATTATCTTATCAACTTATTTTCTATATCTATAAAGTACCTTTATAACAATATTGTTCACTATTGGATTTTAGTAGACTTCCCTATTCACGTGTAACATTTCTGCTTAAAGAAAACACTTCTACACTAAACAATATCCAAGTCATAAATTATTCTCCATCAGTCATAACAACCGATAAAATCTTCTTTGATTTTAATAAAATCAATATAATGATTGAAATTTTATAGTATCTAACAAATGATAACATAAAAATATAATTAGTTAGCATCCATAGTAGAGTAAGTCAGTATAGATAATTCGTTATTAGCAAATCAGAAGATTTCAAACTTTAATTCATAATAATTCAATATACATTCAATAATAATCTTTATTTATTCTATGGTAAAGAATGTTTATGATACAAAACAGCAACACCACCACCAACAACAACAACAACAAAACGCGACAGAGACAAGAACAGATTGAGTATACTGTTTCTTTTTCTATATAAATACTTTATACTTGATACCTTCCTTTAAAAGATAATTAATATTTTAATAAAATATAAATACTTGATAATTGCACATGATTTGATTAGGTTCTTGTATGAATTAAACATAATAAAGTTATTTTATCACTGGTTAAATTGTTCTGTGTTAATAGTACAATATAACAACAGTACAGACTATACTAGTGTAAAATACATTCTAAACTAAGTTAATAGATGAATAGTTTATTCATAGTAAAGGGAATGTAATTTTAAGAAGATTAAGAAGGCTATTGAATCACTGTGGAGAATTTGTCTGACAATCACTCATCTAAGGGGATGAGAATATTGACAAAAAGTGTAAGTACACTGAAACTACATTATTTTTAATGGTTAGTCTAGGACCTATATGTGGAACGAATCGTAAGCTGGATCTTACATTTAAAACGAAAAAAAACTCGTCTCAAAAATTTTCCTTCAGTTACTGAGGGAGTTTGGAAAACCTTATATTTTGTTAGCATTTTTACCAAACAGAACTATGTCGTTAGTTCATTATGAATCAATAAGAAAGTTTCCACATAGTCAGTTAACCAGCAAAAAGATAGATTATTTAGTTTTTGTTTCTAGCAGTACATACTCAACAAGATTGAACAACAATGAGAGATCTGTGATCTTTACTGTACACCACCGGTGGAAGTCAGATTGTAAAACAGTTCCCTATACGTTATAATTCTATTAACAGTATGTAAACACGTGTCATTAAAAAGATTGATATATTTCTTTGATACATCATTTAATGATAAAAGCTGACACAAAACCACTTTAGATCAAATGCATCTTTAAGGTAGAATATATAGGTCAGGTTCACGAATCAATAAATAGTCCTTCGTTACAAAACCTGAATAGCTGTGCAACCTTGATACACATATCCATAGCTCGGTCTGACTTCATCCTGCTTTCTTTAGATTTTAGTTTTCCTTAACTCATATCAACGGTCAAGTAAATATGAGAGATTATTTTCCAGAAATAATAGTGTTCAACCTGATTTACTTATAATTCAGAAAAGATTATTTCTGTCTCGTTTTGTATAGTGGAACATTCAGTTCTCAGCACAAAATAAGCAAAAGTATGGCTTTTCTTCACATTTTAGAACGTATATGACTTGGCTTGACTTTTCAGCTTAGTGTGCTTCACCAGAAATCTTCGCAATCAACCTGGTTTGGGTATATTACTCTACATTGCGTTACATTACCTTTATTTTTTTATATTTTACGAAAGTTGAAGCCCAATCTTGGTCAATCTCTTCAGTTCTCAGGATTATCAAGAGATTATGTAAACCGTCCCTCAAACTTTTAAGCCAAATTTTGTGTATTGTGAGTCGTTCATAATTTTGTGTTACTCAAAGTTAATATACTTAAAACTAAACCTCCTACTTCCCACACTTTTAATAAATTCGGATAGTTTTCTAACGTCAACTAGCTTTAACCCCTGTTTCATCTTTTTTGCTAATGTTGTCCATCACTATTCACATTCGTTATATAGATCTTTTTTATGTTAACGCATAAATATCAGATTCACTGCTGAGCGGGTGAAATAGCTCGTGTTTCTGGATGTAAAGCGTAAAGTAAACTAGCTGTCTTTCTAATTCTTCCTATTTACATAACAATGTATTAAAATGGAAACATTTTAAGGCGCTAAACACCACCCTCTATTGTATAAATGCATGGTCTGGGATAATATTATTACTAACTTTTTTCTATTTCCAAAACTGGTATATTCGGATGATAAAAATAGACTTACATTATCTTTCACATCTTCATCTTCAGCACTTCTCTGAATACCGTATGCAATAAAGCAGAGAATGGCACCAATCCAAAGTAGCATTGAAAATCCACCAAACAATGTCTTACAAAATTTCACCCATTCTGGTGTCGTTTTCGGAGGTGTCAGTGCGTTAGGTCCATCACGTTCTAACCGAATTCTACATTGAAACAAAATTCAACATCACGAAATAGTCAGTACTCACTTGACTTCTTCAGATTTCAATCCATTTTCAGGGTCAGTGTTAAGTCGAGCATACAACTCTTCAAGAGGTATTTTGTGTTCATCCATATCCAATTCTTGTTTAAGATCATCCAAACCATCTTTCAGTTTATTTTTTTCGGGCTTCTTTTTGCAAGTAACCTTGCGGTAGACTTTTCGTATCTTCAAAAAATAAATTATTTTAACATTATTCATAAATGTATCTTATTTATTGAAACTGTTTTTATCTGTGTAAATAACAATATCATTATCGAAGAGTAGTAATTTATTTCAGTATGAAAATCAGGTGTAAAAGCAGTGTGGTCCAATTTAATAGAAATCAACGTCTCAAAAATTCAGTTTACAAAGGACTCAATATAATCATTACAAATGCGCTTAAATTTCAAGATAAATATGCTATAAACTCGTTTATATTTGATTCAGTAACTTAGTTAAGGATATTACCTGACCGACAACAATACTTGTACTTTTGAATGTCTGTTGGGTGACAAATATAGTAATAAAAGAATTAAAAAAATGCGAAGAGTACATGTTTTGCTTTGAAAATAAGTATTTGGTTTTACATTTAAATACTTAGTTACGTGTCATATTTTAGGAAGAAATCGAAAGCAATTAATTAGTTTCATTTACATGTAATGCTAATCCTGGCTATACTTTTCAGTCTTTTGTTGCCTGCTAATTTCGGACTCATTATTCCTTTATATGACAACTTAAGTGATGCAGTTACTGATACGAATAAATTTAAATTTCTTTGCTTCAATTAAACAAAGAGACAAATTAATGAATGCTAAAATCATATATTTTAAAAGCATGCAAGGATCTTCTACAATTATTCACATTTGTTATGTACACTAACCACATGTAGAATATGCTAATGATACATCATGAAATGTTGTGAACAGGTATTTTTGATACACCTGTGCTACGAAATTCTAAGGAGAGGTCATTGAAAGGTAATTAAAAACAACTGAGAGTTAATTAATCTTATCAACCTGTTCCTCGACTACATGTACACAAACAATTGAGATTAGTTGTCTGAACACTTTGAACATCTACCCTATATGACTGTATCAACGTATATATTAGTTGACAAAACAAAGTCTTGTTTTGTTATGAAGTCACTTAGAACTTTTGTTTACAATGTGCAAAGTGATTTGTTGATGGCTTCGTAAATCGCGCCTAAACTATCCTACAACCAATTTTGATTACGGTTAATTTTGGTTAAGCCATTTAATTAACATACTTAGCAGACAATGGTATTAGAACAGTAACAATTTGCATATTTTGTTGTACCCTTCTGATCATAAGGTCACATGACTGACTAGTTAAAATGTTGATTGCTTAAATATCACTTTATGATTCAGTCTTCTTACCATGTATATATGTAATCAAATCCTATTATTGGCTTTTGCTTTGCGTTGCTGAGCTTTTATGCAATTTGACTATAAATTTGCCTTCATATATATTCTTCTTTCTGCTTCGAATTCGCTTTATATGTTTATAACCTTGGGATCTGTGCTACCCGCTAATAAACTGTAATTCCCTCTTTTTATTGCCTTCTGATTTCAAACGTCATTCAGGTTTATGTAATAACGGTTACAAGGGTGGTAAATAAACGAAACAAAGCCACTACAGCCTTATGAGTCAAACAGTGTCTGTCGTAAAATACCCTGAAATTGTCATATTTTACTAAAAAGTTTAATAAACAGTTACACGTTTTTACCCGGGTATAAAGGATGATTTTTTTACTTAAGAAGTCGTAGTATAAAACACGGTAACTAATTCATCAACACTTTCATGTATTTTTAGAATCGAAAATTGAGAATAATGTTGTTCTGAAGATGAAGTTACTAGTTCATTTTAAAATTCCCGGTTATGTCCAAAAATACACTTATGAAAAAAAACTATTGGTTAGTGTGATTTTATCCTTAATGTAAAAACTTTTAGACTGTCTTGCTCTAAAAAATTAAACATATACTTCAGATCTCATTTGCATAAAAGTGAGCTTTAAAATAGCAAATAAACTCGGTTAAACAATATAAACATATCAAAACCTAAAAACGATCAATGATCATAATTTTCAAATCATATTATACTACGTAAACGGGTTCAAGATAAATGTTAAGTAAGAATTAACTTCTGTTATATCTAAAGAAAGCACTGAACAGTCATCTGCCTCCTGGAAATTCTTGAACGTTCGATATAACTCATTATGATTTTTACTGAGCAAATAATCTCCAACAATCGCACACAAACATTGTATTTGTTTTGTACTTAATGTCCACGAACTGACATTTTGAATCTTCAGTTTCAGTTTCAATAATCAGAACTTTCTTTTAGCAAAAACGGTTATGCATGTACGTTAGGTAAAAAGTTGTAAGAGTACTCTATGAATAGAAACAGAATAATATCGAGAGATCAGAAGTTAAAAAATTAACGCTATCAGCAGAAAGAATGCAAACTTATGTTCGCTAGTACTTTGAAGTTTGAAACTCGTTGTTCATAGTCTATGATTAAGCTCGAGGTTAGTACAACTTATTTAGAATTGTTAAATTATCTTTTAGTGCACTATTTACTTACAAAGATCAAAATATATGTAAGAATCATCCTGAATAACTAGTTTGACAAGCTGGAAATAGAAGGGAGAGTTATAATTGAAAGCAATAGTTTCCAAGACGAAATGACATCAACTTCGAAATTAAGGTTCAACTAAGATACATCAGTGAGTAAATAAATCATACTGTCAGAAAATCTGTGTTAAATACTATTGTTTGTCCGTAAATCTTAGTACTCATTTGAAAAACAACTTTGCCGAATAAAAGTCAGTTGAGTGGTCAGGAGATTCCTTTATAAATATCTGCCTTGATTAGGCAAAAGAAGCTATTCGTAATCTTTATTGTTTCATGTTCAAATGTTAGATTGAGATTGAATTAAACTTCAAAAGTACAGAGCTTCTCAGAACTTACCACATTCATATCTGATGACCTAAATTAAAAGTGAAAACTTTCGTTCTCAAGGTCGAACTGGTCGCACTAAACAAACTTGCATTTCAAGCATACTTTTATCTTTAAATTGATGAATCATACATTGATATAAAATTCTGCATCGATTTTTACGAACCATTTCTGTTCATATTTCTTTTCGTATAAGCGAAACCAACGTTTAGAGTAATTTTCTCAACAGGGAAAATGTTATAAGTTGTTTATCAGGGATGTGTTTCAACTTCAGTTATGTAGGCAAAAAAGATGTATATTAAACAAACCCCTGTATTTTTAGCATACAATAAGGTAGTAATGACATTTCGATTTCATTTTTTGGCATTTTCTGCTTCACTTGCATTTGTAACGGTTCAAATTTACTATTTGACCACAACTAACAATTCTCCTAATATATCAACGCGCTACTTGGTGTATGTGCATTAAATATTTTTAGTACCACTATGCAGGTACTTCAATTAACTTGAAAACTGTAACTTTTATTTAAAGTAGACACACAAAACCCCTATCATGAAAAGTGTAACACGATAGTTACGGAGCATATTAGACATAGATTTCGTTTTAAAGCAGTTTCGCCCCAAATCGTTTATTTAACCTGAACAAACTCAGTTGAAATGATATGCACATTCCAATGGAAATTGGCTTTTAACGTCGACGAAAAAAGTGATATCGGAAAGAAAATCGTACCCGAAGTTAGTTCACTAAAGAGTGATAAGTCGTAATACTGTATCAAGCAGAGCACGTTATAAACTTCTCAAGGCATTTCATTGCATATTTTTGCTATTTGTCCCTTTGTCTTGTATTTTAATCCTCATTCAGTTCTCTATTGACAGGCCATTGATAGTAATATCGTGTTTGACCAAACTCAAGGTCTTGGCAAGGTTCAATGCACGGCCATCGACCTTTGACTATCCGACTGGAAAGGCTACCTGAATCTTTGCAGATAGCCATCCGATCACATCTTGTTGGGAATGTTTTTATCGATTCATAGGTATCGAACATTTTTTGTAAGCTATTTTTTTTGTTTTTATCACATTGGTTGTGTTAGAGAAACTCTTGGCTGTATAGTGCAGGCAGTGTCGTTTGAGGTGTTTTGTGCCTTCGATCTGGCTTATTCTCTTTAATGAAATAGAACAATTTAAATTTGAAAACATAGTTTGTGTTTTAATATGATTTAATATAAGTCACTCAAAAACACTTCGTATTATATACAGAAGAATGTAGTATGGTTTAATTGAATGCACTTTGGTTCGTTAGCTTTGAGTTCAAACAGAATATTGATATTTCGGTCGTCGCGACGCGTAGATGAAGATTTCTGCTACAACTATCGGAAGCACACCTCTACCACCAGTAGGTCCATTAAATTACCTACCTTTCTTTCAGAAATTATTCCAGACGATTTTCTGCATTTATGTGTGACTGGAAAATACTTGAAAAGAACACATTCAGGATAACATTCTTGTAGAAAATAGATCACTTGGAGTTACCAACCATTTTACAGTCATCAACTAGTACGTCGGATTATTACAAATCAAGCACTACAGTACATCTTCAGCATTAAACCGTATTAAGAAATTATTGAGTCCAAATTCATTTTAGTAGTATAGTAGTGTATTATGGTGTAACCGTGGATCGAAATAAATTATAATGAACATTTAATGCATGCCTAATTGAACTAGTTACTGCTAACATAGCAAGCTACTTCAAAATATGACGAAGGTATTAAAATACTCCAATCCTTTAACGAAAGCGTTAAAGAATTATCTTTGTAATTGAACTCATGTAAGTTGATCGGTTCATTTTAAATCATCATAAGCTTATCGTATTTCGTATTAAAATGACATTTTAGTGGCCCGTGATCTGACTGCAATTAGAACGTAGTGATGATTTTTGTTGAAATACCTATGTGGCCTATCCTCGTGTGTAATCATTGACTTAAATCGCGTTAGTTAGTAACGGAATTAAATGAGTCAAATGACAAGAATGGACTTTTGAATACATATATTTTGTATAATCGTGGATCGGACAAACGAACAAGAGAACGATGCGAGAATGAGAAAGCGAAACTACATTGACGCGCGGTGTAGATATCTGGTAAGCCAACTCCCTCATTTAACCAAGCGTTAATCAATATTTATAAGCACACAAAAATAAATTACAGACATGCGATGAGTAATGTGATAAGAAGTGTACATACGCCCACGCGCTCATATAACGACAGTTAAGATTGATAAGCGAATAGTTAGCAAGGTCGAAATGTGACTCAAGTAGAATGAATAGAATGAGCTGTCCGGAAGTTAGAATAAGGTATTTAGGCTTAACATAATGACAGACACTACAACTCCACGCATGCAACTTACGCATGCACTTTAATAATCCAGCATAAAATTATATTTGTGAATGTGTCAATTTGTGATAGCGCCAAGGTGCTCACATCCAAATTAGTTGAAGTCCTATTGAGATCAAGTTATGTATGTGGTGAAACATTTCCCTGAATCAAGTGCTACTCCACTTATAATCTTCCCGTTATTTCGATGAATCTGTAATGTCTCGTCTTTGACAGGTTTAGCGTGGATGTATGTAATGGGTTGGTATGTGTGAATATGGAAAATAATAAGGGGAAGTAGGCACGTACAATGAACTTAAATTTTTTGTCAGAAGGGGTTTTGTGGAGATTGTAGTAATTTCAATGATTAAGATCATGAGTCAGTTGAAGCTAAACCACTATGGAAAACCTGGAAGCACTGCTAAGGAGTCTCATAATAGGACGAAATGGCCGTCCAGTGCTTCCAGGTTTTTCATGGTGGTCTAGCTTCAACTGACTCATGATCTTAATTATTGAAGTTACTACAATCTCCACAAAACCCCTTCTGACATTAATCAACAAATGCTCACTATTGACTGGCTTCAAGAGGTATATCTTGGAGTTCTAGTGAGATGTAGTGACCGGCGGAGTTCAACCAGGTCTGTTGTTGGATAGTGACTCACTGAAGACAATGGTGGATATGTCGCCCAATTTCGTGGGTTAGTTGAAGTTAGACATTAACACCGTTGGATGCCGGCTCAGTGGTCTAGCGGTTAAGTGTTTGCGCGCAAAACCAGTAGGTCCTGGGTTCGAATCTCGCAGGGGGCGAGGTCGTGGATGCGCACTGCTGAGGAGTCCCATAATAGGTCGTAACGGCCGTCAAGCAGTGCTTCCAGGTTTTCCATGGTCATCTAGCTTCAACTGACTCATGATCTTAATCATTTAAATTTTTTGGTTAAACTGAACGATAATTATTAATAATGTAAGAGTGGAATTAATGGCAATCTGATAATCAAAACTAATGGTTGGCGGGATTGGATTTCGAATGCTTTTACACAAATCTGCTCCGGAAGGGAAATATAAGAGATACGTTACTGTAATCAGCTCAGTTGTTCAACTACGCAGATGTTGATTCTGTGTAACGAATAGTCATTAATTTCTGTTTAGATACTATTCGTAAGCTATACAGAGTAGGACAAATAATGAATTTAGTAACATATAAGCAATCCTCCTCCATAAATTGAGGAATGAGGGTTACCAAATACATCGTTTGATTAAAAATGTTGAAAACACAATCGCCTCTGCCCTAGTCCAGAACGTTGGATATCCTACAAGATATGACCTGAAAAACGCGTCTATCTTGATCATCTCAGTCAAATAACTGTTCTCCCATCTCGAGGGAGAGGTAATCATGCGGTCGTCTAATTCAAGTTCATTCCTTAGATGACATATCGAAGAGTTGTCTCGGGCCTTCTTTACATATAGAAAAAAGGCATGAAGGCGATCATCTCTGCAGCCTCGGTTGGAGACTAAAAAATTGACCAAATGCATCGATAGAAAAGGCATGGAATCATTTCCGGCAGTTATGCAGCCAAGTAACTCAATCGTTTATACCTAGACAGTCTCAACGAAAAAGAAGTAAAGTCATTCATGAATAGACTGATATATTCGAAGTTTACCATGACAAAAAAGAAATATTGAAACAACGCCATCAGCCTTGGTACAATGAATATAACGGGGCACTACCGGTTTGAAATGTGTGAACAATTGCAATCCGAGCAGTTTAGCGAAGGTATGAGAAGCAATCAGCCCAATATATGCTCAAGCGGCTGGAGACCGTCCCATTGCAGATCATTACGGGACCAATCGATTATAAAGATAATTAAGAAAGAAAGTTCATCTCAAATGATAGATGAGGGCCAAGCCAAGTGTAGGCCATAGGGAACTATATCCAGACAGTTTTTACCCAGGAGCATCTTCAGGACGAATATTAGACGAAAATATAAGTCACAAAATCAGCTGCTCACTGTGGGCTTCCATCGAGATACTCATCAACATGAGATCGATAGCACAACCCAATGCATCCCCTTTGAATATGATATTCGTTGTGTCTATGGGTTGGAAGGTCACCATTATCACTCCAGTTCCTAAAATATGGCCAAGACAACTTCCATCAAACTACGAACCCGTCAACTTCATCGGTGTTGTAGTTAATATACTGGCAAGACAAATCAAAATGATTGTGATAAAATTTGTGGAAACAAACAATTTGTTGAACAGCAAACATGATTTTGGATAACGGTTATCTTGAACATCAAGCTTCCTTGCAACAATGAGCATTGGACAGAGGCCACAGATAATGAAAAATCAGTGGATGTTGTCTACATAGACTTCAGAAAAGTACTTGATACTAATATTGATATTAATATTTTCACTATGATGTGTATAACCTTAGTAAGATCCAAACATGAGAATTGCGTTCATGCTGCAGGCCTCTGTTCAAAAGGTGATACGGATATCCCGTGAAAAGTTCAGTGCGGAAGCTATACAAGGAATTCCAGAACCCAGGAGTTTGACGTACAAGAAGTTTGAGACGGTAGAACTCTTAACTTTTTCTTACGGCAGATTAAGAGGCAATCTGATTATGATGTACAGAATACTAAGTAACGATTTC